GTTCAAAGGCATTCTGAAAGCATTGAAAGACTCCCCCATTTAAGTAAATATGAACCAACCAGATAAGTCTATAAACTTATCCATGACCCTAATTTTGCAGGATGACAGCTCTGTCAGTTCGGTAAGAAAAAAGTTCTCAAAGATTTTAAATTTTCTGTTAGCTAATGATGGGTACTGAGACATGAAGTAGATTACAGTATTATTCTCATCCACAGAGTAGACTCAGTCTTATACCATGTCTTTCTAGTATGCAATGGCCTGTCAGTATTGATAAGTGCTGAGAAGTTTACGCCTTAGTTGAAGCAGTGGATTTATACGTGTCTTTTTCAGTTTTGAACCTGTTCGATCTTGCGTTATGACAGAAGAGTTTAGTTGTTCATTTTTGTTTAGCTATGCTCAGATATTTTTGTTTGAGTTTCAGCTTCACGGTTGTATGTGGGATACAATATCTGAATAATGAATATTAGAAAGCAGAGTTACTGCCTAGGCTCGTTTGCTTTGCAATTGCCTGAGATGTCACTGTATTCAGGTACTCACTTGAGTTGAACACTGACAGAGTGCTAGTTAATAGTACGAAAGAAAGCAAATCAAATAATGAAATTAACAAATGCTTTTCATTGGATTTTCTCAAAATCAAACCATTGTAGATAATATACTTGATTTTTGATTTAAGCGTTCACTCATTCATTTAAACGAAATTTATTCACTCTTGATTATAACTAGGTCTTATTTATTTCATTCCCATTTTCTTATACCCTGCTATTATTGCCTTTGTATCTTTAAAAAGATTACAAATAACTTTTAAGCTTAGGTTGTAAATTTAAGATTTGAAAATTTATTGTAAATTTCCTATGTTAAGAAGGGTTCAATAAAACATGAATAAAAAAAGTAGTATAAAAAGAAAATTATTTGTATCAAAATGGTTTCATCACAATTATAAATAATTTTCTTTTTCTTCATATTTTAATGATAATCACTTAAAAATAATTATTTTAAAATTGGCAATATTTCTAATAATTATAATTTCGAATAATCACTTAAATTGATGTAAAAGAAAATTTAGATACTCGTAACTACAGGAGAAATTCTTATCACATAAATTTTCATCTAATCTTAAATTTGAAATTCAATTGTACTGAATTTAAAAGAATGAAATACCTTGACCCAGTTAACCTGCATTTGCCCGTATTGTGCAAACCAATCAATATAATAAATATTTAAGAAAATCATAAAGGCTCAGAGTGCAAAGTGCATATAAAAATCAAATATAATCACATAAGGATAATAAAAGAAAACTTTTCACAAAGGCTGCAAAGCAGGCCAACAATTACAACAATGGAAAATATTAGCACAACTGCAAAACGCCTTCGGAGTGTGATGATTATTATCGCCAGCAAAATCACAATCACAGCCACAATCTATTCCGACATAAACGTCTACGCTAACATCAATGTCAACCATAATGACACAGTGAACTTCAAACATTTATCGATGAGAATCATGATAAGTAGAAATAATCCTTCCTGTCACATAAAATTCAATAAAATATACTCGTAAAGTAGGCAAACAGAATCACATGAAAGAAAATCTCACATATAGGGATACATAGAGAAATACTAGTGAAATCCTGACAAATTTACACACTGAAGGCACTGTAAATTTAATTGAAAATAGTAGCAAAATAATATTCCACATACAATTTTATATGTAAGTGAGTGAGTATACATCACAGATTGTTAGATGGATACGAGTATAGATATGGTAGATATAGTTGCACACAATAAAATCAACAAATCAAATAAAATAAAATCGATGCAGCAGCTGGGAAAAGCCTAGAATCAACAAACAGTACCAATTGGTACTGAAAGCGTTCAAAAGCAATAACATAACCCGGACCACCACCAACAAAACTATAACATATTTCAAATCAAATAGAAAAGCTGGAGGCTATAGAACACTCAGTAGTCAGCAATGACTGACTACTGAAATAAATAAACAAAAACAAAAACAAAAACAGAAACACAAATAAACTGAACATTTCCCAAAGGCATTGAAGAAATGAAGAAATGCGAGTATGTAGATGAATTTCTTCTGTGAAGACATATAAATGAACTGCCAAAAAAGAAGAAAGGAATTGGAAAGACACTATGTGTCAATAAATGCATTTGGTAAAGTATCAAACAGTTTTGGCTCATTAGTTGTGGGAGTCAGTCAGTCAGTTTACCAATATTTGCACTGCGTGCCAAACACCAACCTGTGGTATCGATTACAAATCACATTTATTGCCAAAATCAAATTGAAACAGTGTTCATTCTCTGAGGCTTATAAGTATAACCTTAAATATTTTTCAAGCATAAAATGATGTTCTCAACCATATCTAATGTGAGGCATACTTTAAGCAGTCTAAACGCTTCGATACATGCCATACCCAAGTAAATATGCCACCAAATCACTTAAGAGCACGATGGATGAAAACATGCTTACATACATGAGTGTTTATGGTTGTTAAATCGCATACGTACCAAACCCTCACAAGCATATGTGACTGCGGCGAGTTCATATAGTTGTAATGCAGCTATGTTGCAGTCAAGTATTCGGTAAAATTTCTACCCTCTTCTGTTCATTCCAATTATTTGTATCATGCGGGGTAATGAATCGAAATACATACATGGAACCGCAAAGAAATCTTTTTTAAAATTTTTCACAAAATCCAGTTAGAAATTGCATCACTATGTGCTGTGTCAAAAACAGTGGCGTATTGAAAAGAGGAAAGAGAGTTTGCAGATTATAACAATCATTAAGATAATATATGAGATAAGATAATAAATAATCATATTAGGACATGTTTAAAGAAAGTAGAAGTAAACTTTACTTTTTTATATTTAACAGATATACATACAATAAAATAATATGTGTTTAGTTAGGTGAAATGTTTGCGACAGGCAAATAAAAGGTGGGTTCATACATCTTCAGCAGCCAGGTTGAGGGCTACTTAGCCATTTTACTCAGAATGTAAAACCTTTGACTGGGTACACAGAAGTAAATTTGAAGTTTATAGTTTAATGTCTGTTTTAACAGGGCACTGGACTACAGAACCGCATGAGACCAAGATTGGTAGTATCCACTGTAGTACATATCAACCGACGTTCGTAGAAAAGACACCAAAAGACCTATTGCGTCTATGTCCAGGCTTGGCCAGAACCAGGCTTAAGCTATGTCTGATTGTTGAAGACACTCGGCATTATTTCCAACATTAGCATTGGTTAGATTTTCGAATTAATCCAATCTTTTGGTTAGTTCTAACATGACCATTCTTCTATCTATCATTACGGGGAAATGTTAAGTCAAACGATTTTTTAACTGATTGAGGAAGACACGTTCCCCTATCGACTTTACCTAACCTTACCTAAAATGAAATGTCCAACATTGAATCTAATTATAGTACCCAACCGATACAATAATTGTATAATAGTTTTAGATACAAACTACTTTTATCTTCTTCTTATTGCCAAATGAGTATAAAATAAATAACAGTAACTTAATAATAGTCCTGTAGTAGAAGTAGTAGTAATATTAGTTACACTTAATGTCCCGAAAAACTGAGAAACACAAGTGAATTTTGTTGAAAACATTATGCTAGAGTTTAAGAGGTTATAATAGCTTTCTATTATCTGTCTTACGAAATCGGGAAACAATAACGGGGCAATGAATTAGTAATAGATTTGATTCACATTTTGGTTTGGTGAGTAATATTTATGACGGCCAAAAACGGATTGTAATTAGTGAAAAATGTAGCTGGTAAAGCGATTTTATTTATCATAAGTTAATATTAATATTTAATATTTTATATATTAAAAATATTACTTAAACCATGATTAACCATCAGTTAAGATAGTTATTATATTTCAATATATATTAAAGACAATTCTAATGTTTCTTTTCTAAACGCTTTTGAGAACTATTATTATTGATATGGGACATGACACTGCGACCGTCGGGTCTATTGTGCTCTTATTGTGAACTATAGTTTAATAGCTATAGTTCACAAAACTCTTTAAAAGAACTAACATAATGTGTTCACAGAAAATTAACTCAAACCAATCAAAAATAGGAAAGAGATTCTTATTTATTTTACCTCAATAATAATTGTTTCAAACGCCTCTGGTATAGTTGATAGTGACGTCACGTCGGTGGTGGCATTCATTCCTCTGAGTTGATGTTACGCATGATTTTCATGCATTTGCTTTGCTCGTAGAAATGATTATTATTTTCTGAAGCTGATTTACCCTTGGGACTCATAAGTACATATCGATATTTAAACAATTGAAATTGAAGTTTAAATGACAATATTAATGATTATGTTTATTAAAAAGATACACATATTTCCTTCATTTTTGAAATATTCTCGCAATTAGCAGTTGACTGTTAATATGAGCACGTACTACTGAGACATTGATAACCCATATTTCAGAGACAATGAACCAATAATAATATTATTATTATAATTTTATTTTAATCATAATATTTGCCCTTTAAATATTTAGGTAAATTTCACTTTATATTATTTTTTTACTTTAATTTGCTCTACAAAAATCAATTAAAATTATGCACATCCTTATAAATATAGCACTATTTTGACTCATCGTTTGCGCACAGTGTAATAGCTCATTATTTAATTAAAAATCCAATTTATTTAAATTAGTTTCCCATAAGCACATCATTATGAAATGAAATAAAAATCTTATAGTATTTTATGCTTCATTTGTATTTATAATTGGATAACTTTTTCAACAAATTTTTAAAAAATAAATCAAAAAAAATTAATTACAATTTTTCTTTCTTTCCGTTAAATTCTTTAAATGACCTAAAATATTGTTTACACTTAAGAAAAAGGATTTGGCTTTGAGTAAAAAAAAATATATATATATATATATAATAAATAAGTTTTTATTACTATTTTCATTAAAAATTGTATATTTCTCTTTTTGTTAAACCCTCAGAGATCCACCAATATTACAAGCTCACAACAATACGGACATCATACTGCGTCTACCCATGGGCAAAAGGATTAAGGATATACGATGGCTTTCAGTGTGGTGCAGACGATTTACGGTGAGATTATTTTTACTTTGTTATTTATTTTTTGGTCTTTTTAATGAAGATAAAAAAAACATATTAAAGAATATTTTTGAAATTTAAAATTCTTTTTTTTTATATGATACACTTACTTACCACAAAAGACTATTTTTCATTTGTGGTATATTGTAAATAAAGAGTGTGTGTGAAATTATACATATAATATGATATATGACATAGTTTTTTTTTATATGCCATTATGACATTTTTTTTTAATAAGTTTAAGTTAACTTAATTAAAATTTAAATAAACTATCAAATATTAAAAGTAAATATTTATATGGGTTGTTTAATTCTGATAATATTTTTTGTGGTGAGAAGGTTGAATGCTTTATGCACCGTCAAACCAACCGTCGCCAGAATGGTGTGTCCGACTCCTACTTTGTAGTATACAACCTAAAACACTCCCTCTTCTTCTGCGGGATTTCTTCCCCCGGGATCGTTTTCACATTAATTCAGGGAAAATAACTTATAAATTGGCCGTCCATGCCATATGCATCGCGTAAAATCTACGTCCAGGCTCCCACACCTGATTCGAATTGAAAAGTCATTAAATTCCTCTTCGTTTTAGATAAGTTTGCGTCTAGATCTTTCTTCTTTTCCCTTAGCACATTTTCGATGAATTGTGTGATTTTGTTCCAATTTTTTGCTCGTTTTGTCATTTCTTCTACGATATTCTTGACTGTGAAGTGACCTACATATTCTGCAAGTAATGTTTTTTCTCCATGCCATCATTCGCAGTTGAAGCATTGTACTCAAGGGATCTGCAGTATATACAGTTGGGCTGCTCTGCTTTTTGCATTTTGTATAGATATTTTCGAAAATATTCATGATCAGATAGAAACTGTGTGACATAATAGTCAATCTCGCCGAGATTTATATTTTATATAAGTTGTCTTTTTTAAACGTTAGTTATATTATTTATTGTATTTAATACAAAGTATCCACTTTAATTAACTGCATAATATTTGTACATCACTCATACGCAATGTGGTCAATTATTTAAAACATGGAATTCTGAGTGTATTTAAAAGAGAGGTCATTAAGAAAATGCAATTAAGTTAATAATATATTAAAAATCTAACCAAATAATATTTTATCTAATTTTTTAATATATAGCCTTTAATATTTCACTTTTTAAAAATAAAATTTTTAAATATAAGCTTTCTCCTTCGTCTCCATTGATACAGTAGGGAGAATTGAGTTTTTAAAGAATATATTATAATTAGTATTAATATTATATTAAAAATCTTACAAAATAAAATTTTATATAATTTTATAATATTTAACTTTTAAATTTTCACTTTTTAAAATCAAATTAAAATTTTTTAATACCTGCTTTCTCCTTCGTTTCCATTATTACAGTAGTGAGAATTTAGTTTTTAAAGAACTTATTTTAATTAGTGTTTTTGTTTTTTATCTTTGCGGGAGGAGTTTAATAAACCAAATTATTTTCCTCAAAATAGTCTCCTTCAAATTTACTACAATGATTTATACAATATGTTGAATGAGTATTTTAGATAGTTAGTCGCGATATCGTTTTGGATGTTGATTCAGTATGTTTGGATAGCATCCGAGTTCACATCCTTTTATTAGCAAAGATAATTCTTCAAAAAGGTGAAAGTCAAATGAAAGTCAAACTAGGTGAATACGGGATTTAGTTGACCCTACAGATGAATTTAATTGTCAATTAATGACATTATTACAAATAACTGTTTTTATTAGCTAATATTTTATTTTCTTTGGTGTTTTCCAAAGGTTAGACTTATTTATAAAATTCCTTGGTTTATTTTTTAGCACAATATCTGTTTCTTTTTTTTTCTTACCCATCATTTTTAGGTGCGAAATCAAAGCCTTTAAAAAAAATTATTTTAAAATCCTCTTTTTTACTTATTTTGGAACTATTTTATAATTTTTAAACGTTTTTTAAAAACAAAAAACTTTTAAATAATTTATAGAAGATATTAATATTCTATACCAAAAATATATATGACTTATCTTTACATTTATTTTTCAATACAACGATTAATTGGCTTTTCCGTGCCATAACTTAAGTTAAAGCAAGTGGAGTGAAATTGAATATTGTTGCTAAAATTGCCTAAAGATATTTATGGCGTCTTTAGGTAAAAATTATCACTTAGTTGAAATCACTTCCAAAATTGGTTTATATATAATATATACATATATAATATATATATATATAATATATGGTATAAAGATCGGCAAGTTCAACATAAGAAATAAAGGAATTAGTTCTGTTTATTTCAGCAGTTATCTAATTTTAAGCAATAGCCTAAATATAATTATGGATAATAGAACTATCAAAACCTGAATTTAAATTTGCAATATTTGACATCAATGGAATTCAAATGCAGTATCCTTCAAAAGCATACTAATTAAACTTAATTGGTTAACAACAATATAAAACCTTATAAAACCTAATTACTCAAATATCAAAATGAGCTCTAGCTGTCAGGGCTTTCAGCTCGAATATTATAAATGAAATGTTTATTGACTAGAATACAGGCTTTAAAATATTTACATATTAAAAGTATATTTTTAACAGTAAATATAAAATTATTTATATTTTTATAAAATTATATTATATGAAAATTTAATTTAATTTAAAAATTGAAATATTTTGATCTTATGAAAAAAGGGCGTGGCACAGGAGTTTTAAAGTGAGTTTTACAGTTTTTTCTACATCTGCATTTTATCATTTATCTCAAGTTTGAAATTATTAACTCGAGCTTTAGATATTGTTACTTGTTTTATTTAACGTCATAAACTATATAACTGATGAACATTAATTTTATTTGTTTTGCACTACTATTTTATACTTAAAAGCTGGCTCTGAGCTTCAAATTTGGCAGGACATGAGTTCGATTTGGTACTTGTATTCTCAAAAATTATTTACGAGTAATTAAATACAATAATTATTTCCAAGACCACTGATGATGGGTAAATATAATATAATTAGTAACGCTGGGGCTGATATTTTCAGCCCCAGCGTTACTAACGTTACTGATTATGATTTGAGCAGAAGTTTTTAGTTTAAAGTGTTAAAGTATTCAAAAAAGAAACAACGGTAGACCACCCCGAATTTATTTCTTATACAACTGAGAGCTACCTTAGTGTGTACATAATGGGTTCAAGCCATTGTGTAATAGGGCTACATTGCATCTTACTGGGCTAAGTTTTCTTTATAGTCTGTTTTTGTTAGTTCTCTTTACAAATCACTGAGTTTGTAATAACTCAACATTATATAGCATTTTTAGTTATAGTATTTTATGTTAAAAAGTGTAGGGAAGACAAGAAGTCTATGTTTCTGAAGGATATAATAAATATTATTTAAGTGTAATTAAATACGTTTTGATGAATATAATTACATATAATTAAGTAAAAAAAATATTCTTACACACATTTTAGTATGTTTAAAATATGTATTTATAAATAACATATCTCACAGGACACTTCCTGTATTCTTTAATATTGTTTAATAAATCAAAATCTTAAACACAACAAATAATTCACAAATAATAAAGTTTACAATGTTGCCATATTTCTAAACTGCTTCTCCTTTGCACTTAAGTTTATATGTTTGTTCTGCTGTTAAACGCCTATGAAACGTTATGATTCATAAATTTATTTACTTGCTTGTTTGTTTGTTTATTTGTTTTGTTTGTATATGAACGAATATAAAATTATAAAACAAATATAAATACTAACACAAATATAAATGAGTATGTTGGCCCCAAATGCATTTGTAGAAAGATTTTTTTAGAATTTACTTTTTAGACTTTCTAAAACTTTTATGTGAGGTTAATAACTGAACCGCGCCCGTTTTCTGGCGTCTACAAACAAAAAGCGATGATTTATGATAATTTCTCTTTACTATTTATTTTTCGATTTATTTTATTTTACCAAAAAAGGAACACTAATAAATTTTTCTGATAAAATATCACAGAAATGCACATAAATAAAATATGGTGAAAGGGAATGTATAGAAAATAAAATAATTGTAATAAAAAAAAATGGCGGCAAAATAAAATGAAATGAAAATACGCTGGCAGACATTTTTGATTAGCTAAAGTGGCTTACACATAAATATAAGCGCGTATGTGTGCATGTGTGTGCAGCATTTTTCACTTTATAAGCAAACATGTTTGTGGTACTACTTTTGAGACTGTTTCAGCTCCAGCGTTAGCCACAAGAGTGCCAAGTGAAAGACCAACTACGTGTTACAATCATTTGGCGGAAATTTTCAAACTCACCACGTTATGTGTGGTGAAAGTTTTACTTATTTACGTGCTATTGTTTTAGCTATTGTAGAAAAGTTTTTCCACTTTACTCATTTCCTGTTTTTGCACAAATAGTAATAACAATGCATGGGTGGATGTGAGTGTGTGTTTGTTTACGTTGCTTTTGTATGTAAGTATATTTTATAAATGGAAGTGCTTGGAATTGTTGCAATGTATTTGTGTGAGTATTGTAGCCATTCCATATATGAATTGTGCGCTCCCTCATTTCAAATGTATTTGCAACAATGCGCGCGCAAGTTTATATTTATTTGTATTTGTTTTATTCTATATATTTTTTACTTTATACGAGCGTATATATTTGAAACGTTTACATTAACTAAATGTATATAAAACAAATAGTATATTTTTCGGCGCACTTTGGAGGTGCACTCTTATCACATGTAGAGCAACAATATTTTGCTTGTACATACAAATCAACGCATTTAAAATAATAACATATTAATGAGCATTTCTTTATTTACCTAACATAATTTGAACATATATTAGGTTTTGTTTTAAATTTAATCTTTCAAATATTTTATTTGAGTTATCTTATGGCACAATTGTAAATTTCAGAAAAACATATTTATTATAGATATATTCTTGGTTTGGGAATTTCTTAGGATATACAAAATGATATATTAACATTTTTGCAGTACTTTGATATTTATATCAAAGAAAGCAAATACAGCAAAATATTATGATAAAAACACCTTTCATATACAGTTGTGCGGGTGTTTTTTAAGCTTCTTTGTATTTGAGTTTTGAATGTTCTAAATAAATATTTCACCTTCTACCTGCTCAGTAAATTTGAAGTACAGATATACAGCCTACACACATATTCAATACATCATATAAATTATGGCTTGTATATGATGTAAAATATAATTCTAATTACATTTCATAAACTCAAATAAGAAATGTTATTAATTCTTAAAATTCTTAAAATGCCAATAATTTAATTTAATTATTTCTTTTTTACATAGTACACAGTAATAAAAGTCATTGTCACCCACAATGAAAAATCATTTGATGCTTATAACATCAAACATATGCAGACATTAATGTGTAGAGAGGACCTAAATGAAATATTTTAAGAAAATTTAGTTTTCTTCGAAGAAAAATGTATATAGGTCTCTTGCACACCAGCAGTTTTGAATAGATAAACAATATTTTGATTACGGTACTACTCTTAAGATTGTGTTAGCTCCAGCCAAATACGTGTTCCTATTTATTAGGTGTTGCATGCTTATAGTTTTTGATTTTAAAAAAACTAAAGTTTGCTTATTCCAATTCGAGCAGCAGATTTGAGAACGCTTTGGAATAATAGTTTCAAAAAGTGTGATGCTGCACGCTTATGCCGACGATATAGATATATTTGGCCTGAACAACTGCTCCGCATAGTGTTCAGAATTGAAATTAGACGTTCAAAATTAAAGGATTTGAACCAGTAAAGATATTGAAATAAGTTTACCTTAAATATATATATAAGCTTTCTTTAGAACATATTTTGAGCCCAATCGGCTTATCGGAAATCCTGAAAATTTCGCAAAAAATATATAGAATTACAAATAATTTAAAAACTAATGATCAATTCCATTTTTTGTATAAAGTTGTATTTTTATATATGTAAAAAATATCTAAAAGTATTAAGTAATCTAAAATATGTAATAAATATTCTAATAGAAGTGAACAATTTTATTAAATATAATAAACACTTTCGAATGTGCGGTAAAAGGATAGGTGACCAATGATATAAGTGCACTCAGTATTACCAACTGACGACAGTAACCCACTGATTGGAATGGGTTCCGGAAGCTACTTCATAAAATAACAGCTAAATAAAAAATAAATAATTCCAATTCGAGAAAACACAGTCTTTTTACTACATATTTAATATTGATGTAAAATTAAAACATTTTCTTATAATCTCAATCTGGGTTCTAAATTTCATATAGTCCATAATGTTACAAAGAGTTCGATAGGATGTTATGAGAAGATATTAGGTACTATGTAAGCACTTTTAGTTCTTTGTTTGTCAGGGAAATAATGATTTGGGAATAGATATTATTTAACTAAACAAAGAAACTTTCACTAAATTAAAAATTCCGAATTATTTTTAAGAAATAATCTCTACTTTTAAAATTATTTTAAAAAACAAATATTAATTAAATTACTTAGTATGTTAAATTGTATATATTATATTATAGTATATATTTTTTAATACATTTTAAAACAAAAAATTTAAATAAAATATTCAAATTCTATTTTTTAGGTTGATTTTGGTGAAGTGTTTATCCCACCGGGTCTAGATGTACCTAAGCCACGTGTACTTCCTGAGTTTAAACGTCTTGCGCACGGTTTACGTTCAAGCAATATTAGTGTTTTAGATGCCAAAACATTTTACATTCCCAATTTGCACTACGATGGCGCTGGTCCAGATGCATACTTCTGGGTCGGCAATGGATCAGAACCCAACTTGATGGGAGTAAAGGTAAAAAACAATAAAATTAAATGTAGCGATAATGAAAAAATATTAATATTTATGTATTAGTAATAATTATAATAATCTAATATATTATAATTTTATATATTAATAGACAATAATAAATTTAAGTTTTTTCATTAAAAAATATAAAATTTTTTATGATATTTGAAAGAATCATTCTTGAGATATTAAATTTTTTTTTTTGCGTTTTTTGTAGATGTTTTTTTTTGACTCCATGTGTCTTAGTATATATTAAAAAGAGACTACTAAGCGATATTTCTTTTTCTTTCAAATTCAAGAAATAAATTTCCATAATTTATGCGCTTTTGTTAGGAAATGGTCTGCATATATTATTTTCAGGCGATTTGGTCTAGACATATAAATAAATAAATTTTTACTTGAACTAATATTGATAGAAATATGTTTATATTGTTTACGATTTAGTGTATCAATTATATTAACTGTGACATTATTTTTTGAAACTAATTTCAATATAATTATATATACATATACATATTATTTGTATCGCATAATTGAAGTATATAGTACATTTTAAGGGTGTTACCAAAATAGATAGGAGTAACGTCGTATGGACGCTATTTAATAAATTATGTTTTATATTAAACTGATGCTATTTGTTATAATTAACTTACAAGAATCATGGACCTTTTATATATCACAAAAAAAAATTGTTTCACCTAATGCACTATTTTGATTTTTTGTAGCACTAAAAATAAAGTAGTATGAAAACATTGCACATGTTATATTGAGGCTATAATCAATAAGACTTTCGAATGATAATTTCATAATATAGTATAAGTTCTGGATTACCAATTTGTGTAGTGTTTCACAAATGATAATTTAAATCTTTAAAATTAGCAAAAAATGTTCATTTAATCACTTAATAATAAACTTCATGCTTCCGTATTTCAAGGCCATAACAGTAATACTATAATACTATATTTTAGTAATTTTATAGTTTTATTATACTATAGTATATAAAAAACTATTAATTAAAATATTTCAGTCATTTAATCTACTCTTTATTAAATATTAAATATATTTAATATATATATTTAATATTATTATTAAATATATGTCAGTTCCTAACAAGAGAGCCTTTGCACTCACAAGGTTTTAGGCATGTCGTGATACGAGTACCATTAGGAGATTTACTTCACTGCTACTTTTCGACCATTTGTCGACCATTTCTAGTTCTATCAAATCTTTGAAAATGAAACATCTTAAGGACTCAACTCTTTTTCTGCAGAGAACTAGATAATGATATTATATTACATCTGTTAATTTCTGTAGAACTTGCAGCCAAAGACACTCAAATAGATTGTGTGTATGCTTATTAAATAATAATCTGTCATATTGAAATGTAGCAGAATGGTTGTAGTTTTGTGATCTCTAGACATTATTAGCTGAACTAAAAAAGTTTCCACATAGATAACATAGAGCGTATGTTAACTTTATTGAAGTATTTTTAATATTGTGATATATTGCTAGATAATCTCATATACTTGGTACCTACTTATTTAGACCGACTTAAATTAAGAGATATTTATCGAATATATGGGTGTTATTTTGAATAAAAAGTTTGCCGAAATCAAAAAACCGAGTAAAAATCACCACAATATTTTATATATATATCATAAGCACGATCTATCTCTAAATGTTATTATATTAACTGTTTTATATAATTACGCCTTTTAACTGAAATTATACTTTTTAGTGTTCTGCTTTGGTTTAAAGTATTTGTGAAGCAATAGTTTTTAGCAAAAACTGAATAAATCTGATCGATCAATCACTGTACTCACCTGATATGGTCCCGTATGATTTTTGTCTGGCCCAGTAAATAAAATGACCACAATAAAAGGTGGTGATTGCTTTAAAAAGCATTTTAAATTGATTTAGGCTATAAAAGAAAGCCGGTAAAGAAGTTTAAGCCAAACGTACCACACTCTGTTTACGATAAATATATGATGGTTTCTGTACCGGATGTTCCAACACCTACTTTAAGGGCTATAGAATAAATTCTAAATGATTAATGCTATTTTCTTTTGTTTTATTAAATAATATCGTACACTTTTTATACAAAATATATGTATCTATATGTTTGGATATTTGATTATTAGTGTGTAAACTAATTTGTCAATTTTTCCATCAATAAAATTATATACAGGAACTCTTTCAAACCCAGACTTAAAAAGTTGTCTGGATAAACTCACTAAATCTAGTGAATTGAAAATAGAGAATATATTCATCATACTTTTATAAAAAAAACTTTTTAAATAATTTAACGTATATAAATATTTATTATTTAATTATTACTTTTTTATTAGAAAAATTCGTTTTAATCAACTTTAATATTCTCTCATAGGTACCGAATGAGATTGGTTCACTGGAACCGTTGCGTGGATATCAAGGCGAAGATATTGAAATCCAACTGCCAGACAAACTGACTGTTTACGATATAGATTGGCTGGCGGTCTGGTGTGTGGAATACAGGCATAATTTTGGACATGTTTTCATACCAAAAGACTTAGATGTACCACCAGCCTTGGGCCAAACTAAAATTACTGTAAGTAGTTGTTGTTGTTCCGTTTGGAGTAAGCAATTTTGCATAGTTTTAGTTACTCTAGTGCTCCAAATTCAAACTATTAGTTTACATACTTTGCATAATTAAATAACATTTTGCGTGGTGTAAATTTTATTGCATATCATAATTCACAACATTAAACATTTGTATTTTTATCTTTCAAATGCATTAGCCTCCATGGTGGTACACACCTGTAAGTATAGTTGTAGTAGTGATAATAAAAAAGTTCATGGCAATTTGCAGTAATAAAACTAAATTGCATTTCAGTTACTTTCAGTTAAATTTTAATGTTTTTGTTTTAAATATTTTTACATATTTTCAGACTACAACAACTACACCACGCCCAGTTTATGCCAATTGTCGCGAACTGTTGCCTAATAGACTACAAGTCAAGTGGGAGTTGCAAGGCGAATATTTACAAATTGAACTATTTGGACGTATTAATGAGGATCAGTACATGGCCTTTGGTCTGTCAGGTGCTAATGGACGTGCACAAATGTCACAGGCGGACATTGTTGTTGCATTTTATGACACCACTGCAAGAGTATTCCGTGCTGAAGACTATTTCATTTCTGATTTATCACAATGCGACGGTCAACATGGTACTTGTCCAGATGAACGCATCGGTGGACGTAATGATGTTGTAGTGTGTAAGTAACGGAAGTTAATTTATTCAATGATATATATAAATATATATGCATAGGATATCGTTAGTTGGTTTTAGCCTAGGTAGGGGTTTTCTCTTCTGTCCAAGTAGCGCGTAATCGATGTTTATTACTACACATTCGAAGATATAGTTCTAGAAATGGGTATATTTATTTTTTAAAATAACCTATGTTAGGAATTCTCCTGATGAAGCCAAAAGCGAATTTGCCGAAATACGTATAGGAATCTACAAAAAAAAAACAATCGAAATAAAAGTTAAAATCCTAAAAAACAAAACCGACTTCAACCTACACAGTTGATAAGTGAATGAACTCTATTTCTGTTAGAGTTTTGAGTTGTATAAAATATAAAATCTAATCTAATATAGCACTTTAAAGTGAAACACGATTTCGGAAATGCTTATTTTTGTTAGAATATTTATATATATAATATTCATTGCACAACTAAAAACCATTTAATCTTCACATACAATCATTTAAATCTTTAGATATAACTTCATTTTTAGTCTATATTATTATAATTATATGATAGATAGCACTAAAATGTGTTTTTCAAGATTTATTATTATATAGTTCCTAAAAATATGCTTCTTATTTACGATAGGTAGTTCACTGGTATATAAAAAGAAACTCTAAACTAAATCCTAATAACAAAATATTACTCTATAAAGCAATAATTAAACTCATTTGAAGCTATGGCCTACAAATATATTGAACAACAAAAAAATCCAATATCAGTGTCATAAAGCAGCTACAATCCAAAACACTGAGGCAAATCACAAATGCAGACCAGTACATTACAAACGCAGATATCCATAAGGACTCACAGATACAAACTTTCGAAGATAATATTCGGGACATGGGAACAAATAACAAAAACACGAACGAATAATAACTCACTCAAATAACGATATATATAGACTCCCCCAACAGGAGCTAAAAAGTCAAAGGTGGCTCATAAGATTACGACTAGCTCAACTAATCCAATATCAATAAGCGTCTTAAATAATAAAGCTCAGCATAGAAAACGGAAATATTTAGGTGTTGATCCTTATTATTCTACACATCCCAGCAATCAAATGTAAAAACGTACTAAGTGACTAATCCTAGAGAGTAGTATACAACTTTGGGGGAGAAAAAAATGTACGATAAGCAATGATTAATGATAGTTAATTGTGTGATATAAGCTACGCTATATGCTTTGGTTCAAATTGTTAGACATATTAGTTCAATGAAAGTCTGTTGAAGTAATCCTCATCTAAATCTCACTTACTTAATTTTATTTAATTTGATTTATATAAATTACATATTTCCTTTAACAAGTTTTATGTATTCATTCAATCGTAGCGAATAGCATATAACCTGCAGATTTAAATCTTAACAATTCTCTTTTGTAGTGAGTGGTGATCGTAAAAATGGCGTAACAAGTATACGCTACAAACGTCTATTACAAACTAATGAACCTATTTATGATTTGGCAATACCAACGGATCGTGAAGTTTCCGTTATAGCCGCTATTGGTCCGCTGAATAGCCGCAAGGAAGCTAATGCACACGCACATACCGCTAGCGATCATAACGTCGATGATATACGCATCAATTTTTCAGCACGTGTAAGTAGTTTATGCTTAAATTATTCATAAAAAATTATAATTAATTATATTCTAAACTTTTTAGAATGATCACTCCTGCAAAAATTCACTATATAGCGTAAAAGATGAAACTGGTCCGGCACCTTGGCCCACACGCACCATTACGAATGAATATATGTTTACAGCTAGAATTGGTCCTACCGGTGGGAAACGGGGTTATACACCAATTACTGGTGTACCATCTTGGGGCATTGCTTGGTACTTGAATGATCTCTTAATACCAGAAATTACGGTGCAACGTGGTAAAACTTATGAATTTTATGTGGAAGGTGGTAATAATCCCTCACAACCAGCCAGGTTTGTCACAAAATTGATTTTAAATAAAAAATGGATTTATTTATTTTTTATTTACATTTAGATATCATCCTTTTTATATAACGGACTCACCTGAAGGTGGTCTTGGCCAAAAGACTGGTTTGGAATTGAATAAACAAAAGACTTATGCAGGTGTTGAATATGATGAAGATGGTAATGCTATACCAACGGCAGGTAAGATCTTATTGAAAAAATTTGTTACTTAAGTAATCTTTTTTTATTAATTAATTATACTTTATTTTTAGCCGGTCGTTATTGTGAATGGGAACATCGCACTGTCGATCGTTCGGCCGAAATTGATACCTTTGAGGAATATATGAAAACTTTGGAACTAGACTGTGAAGATGGTGAACCTGGCTATTTAAATTGGACCGTACCAATGGATGCACCTAATTTGCTTTATTATCAGGTATTTTAAAAATTGTTTGAAAATAATATTTGGCATTTTTAATATTTATCGTTTTTTTGTTTAGTGTTTCACCCATAATAACTTAGGGTGGAAAATAAATGTCATCGACAGTAAAGACTCCGCTGCTGGTCTTAAACTAACGGCAACCCAAATACTTATATGCTTTGTATCTACTGTGTTTAGCCTGGTTGCGACACAAAATATTATTGGTTATAGATTATTTGCCTGATAGTCAATTAATATAATACTAAATTAAATTGGCAAATTTTGTGATTTTTATTAGATTTGTTTAGGGTACTGTTTCAATTCTTTTTTTTTTTTGTTTTTGTGTTTTGTAACTATTTCCATATCAAGTAGATAACTGTTTATCCAGTTCAATTAAAAAAACCATATCAAAATAAGCACTTGAATCTTAAAATAACTGAGGTTTATATACAATCACATATCGAAAATAGTCAAAAAGAGATTATTCTACATAGTTCTTTGATTACATATCATATTGTAATTACATATCATACAAACGCTGCTAATTGAAAAAAAATGCATGTCCTACTCTCCTATTTCAAATTGGCGTTTTTCTAACATCTAATTTCGTTTTCTAAATATTCTACTCAAACTATATCAAACGGTATAGTAGAATGTTGGATAAATAGGAAACATTTGATAGAAATCTCTAGGTCACTAAGGTTTGATAATGTTAACGTTAGAAACAAGATTAACTGCTTGGTTTAACATTCTAGCGCTTGGTATATATTTTGAAACCATTAAACTATATGAAGATGCTTCAAGAAGTATACCCACATAGGAAGCTATATATAGAAATGCTTCATTCATGCTTTTTATTATTTTGTTGATAGTTGAAAAGCACCAACAGTCAACCTTTAAGATCTTAACTCACTAAATGTACATCTTAGGAATGAATAAATAATATTTCGGCCACTGGACGGAAGAAGTGTTGAGAATTCTATTCCAGTAGACAAACACTTAAGTTAGTAGGCTTAATGTTTAAAAATCTGAATTTAGCTAACTTAAATATCAGAGATGAGGAAAGGTTAGTTTGTTGAAGGGGGTTTAGTGATCTTCTGCTCTGATGGTAAAATCTTTTAAATATAAATTAACGGATAAGGATGAGGAAAGGTTAGATTGTTTAAGGGAGTTAAGTGTTCTTCTATTTTGAATGTAAAATCTTTTAAATATAAATTTACAGAAACAGTATTGAAAACTGATGCTACCATACTTCATCGGTCAACACTTTCAGCTTCTTCCGAAGCTGAATGAAGTGCATTATATATTTCTAACAAAGTATATAAAAAGTTCCAATCTATAAAGCATTACAAAAGTACTACTGATTGGGCAAAACCGATAATAAATATTTATAAAGATAGTTTTTTAGTTGAGATTAAATTTATCTTTGAGTGGTAGATATTACTCCAATTCACTATATTCACTAATGTATATTTTAATTGATTTTAGTATTGAACCTACTTTATTGGATCTTTCTTCTTCATCCAATATAAGATATATATATAAGATACTAGGTAGGTTTTGTGTTTGTGCAGTAATGCCGAGCAAGCTTCAAACACATTTTTTATAGTCTCATTCTGCTTCCATCTCTTGTGAATGGTGGTTTTGTTAAATCTATCTGGGAAATTCTTTCGTGTAGGCTTCAGGACCCGACAAGCTTCCAGCACCTATTTTAAGGTCTCATTCACTTTCCACGTCTTATAAATGTTTATTTTACTGAGTATATATCCTTTAAAAGTAAAAGTTGTATAGATTTGTACATTCTACATGGAGTAAGGTACTTTGAAGTTAAATTTTAAAAACAAAAGATATATAAAAATAACATTATGTTAATAAAATTTCAAATCTCTTCAATTGAATATAAGACACAGTCTGGAAGTAACTCAAATTCAATTTGAATATTTTTAAAAATGTGTATAACATTACAATGTATGTAAAAATAACCAGTTAATTATAAATTAATGTAGGAGGAGTATAAAACTTTTTAATAAAATAGAAGGAAATCGAAATATTTTTAATAACATTCTACAGTTCCGGATTTGTATAATGTTATATATTATATATTAACAAAGACATGCCGAAAATCATTTCCAAAGTATCTAGTTCTACACAAGATAATGCTATGATTGTATAATTGTTTTATTAAAAGAGAAAATATACGATTTTTTATTATTACTAGGCTGAGGTCATATGACTTTCGTCGTGATAACAATTTATTAAGAGAAGATATATATAAAAATAAAACAAGATCTTAATACACTTATATACCAATCTTTATAAACCGTTGGTTTTCTTTATTTTTATTAATTCTTATTAGTTTCAAGAACGCAGTACTCTAATGAAAATCTATTAAATTAACAAATAAACATTGTATTTTTTTAAATATAAAAGTGCTGTTCGCAAGCATTTTTTATAAAATCATTAATTATCAACCAGGCTAATATCAGAGAAAAACATATCTTGACAATAATTTTTAAGAAATATTTAAGAAACAGAAAAGTAATTAATATTATTAATATTAAAAACAATTAATGTAAAAAAAAGTAAATAATGAAAGTATTGTGTGTATAAATGAGTGACAGTTAAGAGTACATCGATTGTAAAGGTTTTCTTCTTTCTGTTTTTTTTATATAACATATTTAAATGATATAAAATACTTTTTTAGCTAATTAATTATACATAAATGTACATTTTTTTAAAAAATATAAATTTGTTTTAATTTTTTTATGTATACAATTTTTTAGTAAATATTATTAAGTAAAATAAGCTGACAATAATAAAAGAAATGTTGACAATATGACAATAACTCTTTAGACAATAAATGCATACAATAATGGCACATTAGAAAAAAAAAAACAAAATACAACAGAATATAAATGTAAAATATTAATATTATTAATTATTAGAAGAAAAAAATTTGGCTCAATTAAAAAACTAAAAATTACTATAAATATATTTAAATTCAAAAATTAAAAAAAAAAAATTTGAAAATAATAATAAGATAATACATATATATCAATACTGTAAGACAATAAATTTATATGTAATTAATTTATAAATTCTGTGTGTAATTAAATTTAACTAAAAGTTAGAAAACAAAAAATTATATTCAATTAAATCACTTATTGATATATTATAAAATTTATAAATATATATACAAAATAAAAAAAAAATTTTCTGGTTTTTAGGATTTTATAAATGTTTTTTTTTCCTTTTGTAGCTCATAAATATTTTTTATATGGGTGCTTGCTCTTAAGTAATGTTAAATCTTTAAATTAAATTAAATTAAATCAATTAAATTTCATGAGAATACTGAAGCTGAAGATAGTTCGTTCTTTTTTATAAAACAAAAAAATAAATAAATTTAACTTATATATTAAATTCATTAAAATTAAAGTCTAACTTTAGTATTTTAGTTGTAAATGTAAGTATAATGTTAATAAATTGTTTTTGTATTTTGTTGTACCAAGCAAATATTTAATAAAATTTTGATTCTTGGTGTGTTTTGCTAATAATAAAACTTTTTATATATATACATTAATTATACAATATAAAATTTATAAAAAATAAAAATCAAAATATAAACTTAAATTTTTCGAACTTATTCATTTGTGTAAATTGACAATAACAAAATAATTAAAAAAACTAACAGAATATGCAAAAATAAGCTAATAAAATATTAAATAATAATATCTACGTGTAAATGTTTGAATTGTTTATATAAATATTTTTATTATTATAGAACTATAAGTACTAAATATTAAAACTTGAATTTCCAACATGAGAACATAATTTTATAAATTTCAAACTTATGATTGGATTAAAGACAAATAAATATTTTGGAAATAAATATTTATTTATAAAATTTTGATCTATAGTATAATAATATATATTTTGATATGTTATATATAATTCTTTAAAAATAGCAATATCGTTATAATTATATATAAAACTAACATTTATTTTTAACTACTTTATTAATTTAATTTAATTTTAATTTTAACATTTCTGAATTTAAAAATCTTATTATATTTATATTTATTTTTATATTATTTATTTATATTTTTATTTTATTATTTTATAATATTATTTGTTTTTATAATTTCTTATTGGCGACGGTTATATGTATAAAAAATGCTTCCGATAGAAGTAAAAATTCATAAATAAAATCTTTAGCTTGCAGTGGAGGTATCCATACCAGGGATCAATAGAAAGACCTTTAAATTGTTTCAAATATATGAAAATTTTTTCGATTTATAACTATATGCTATAGAAATTTATAAACTCGAACTTTTTTAAAAATTTATACAAAATTTAAACTTCAAAATTTAATAATAAAATTTAGAAGGACTTTTGGCTTGAATTAGTTAAATTAAATTAAATTAAATTGAAATTTACAAAAACTATTTTTGGATAAAATTCTATATGATTTACATATAACTTCATAAAACTAGTTTTAATAAAAGTCAATTTAGCAATGTTCAGTTTAAACTTTCTAATTATACTGTGTTATACTATACATAATATACCATAAGTGCATACCAATTAGAGAATAAAAACTTCTAAAAGCTTCCTTCAAAGAAGCTGGTTTGATTCCGCGGGATACTAAATGTCTAAAATCAAAGGGATGTACAATGGATCAAGCTGGCCGCAGTGCATAAAGGCATTAGCCTAACCCATATATAATATATTTGAAATAATATAAGACCCGTACATTGTTATTGTTGTAATCCGAATCAAAGTTCAACAGATACTTAAGACTCCTGAGCAAATAAAGTAGGAATGAATTACAGATAAAGTGATGAGTGACTGTAGGAAATGAGTTAATTAATTGATGGAGTATATAAAATAGAAATTTGGTTGGTAGTACGTAAGAGAAGAGATGTAGGTATTCCAAAACATTATCAATCCAATTGAAAATAATCCAAACGAAATATAATCAAATTCAGAAGCTTGTTTAGCTAAAAGATAAATGACTTTCATTTATCATATTTTTTTAGAGAAGTTTCGAAAACTTAAGTTCTTAATTTTTTTATAAACTTAAGCGTATAAGCTGCAGGTCTATCATAATGATCTTCTAACTCCAGTTTAAAAAAAAAAAATAAAACAAAAACTACAATTGTTTCCAGAGCGAGAAACCCTTAAATATAAAGTTAAACCATTAGAACTTGGAGTACTAAGTACACAGAACTGTGCATTTAAATGGTATAAAAAAAATTACAGGAAGTTTTAGCACTCTAAGGGCCATGTTTTGCACAAAGTCATACGA